CTGTTCTGCCGCTAGAAATAAGTTACTTTTTCCTCTCTCCTTTCCTTCAGCAGGAGCTTTCATGTCTGCAGATGACCCCCCACCCCCCCATTGCGGGTGCGAGTTGTATAGATTTTTTGCAAAATTTATGGATTTTTAGGGCTCTTTATTCAGGTAAATGTCCAAAGAGGTTGAAATGTATGCGAACCGGACCGAACTTCAGTCAAACAAGACCCAACACTTTTATTCCTGATTTAAACTAGCGATCTTGAGAGCAGCTGCAGCTGTATGCTTTTATTTTTTTCTGTCAGGCTGTCGCGGAGCACTCACCTCCTCTGTCCAAGGCTGGTGTTGGGTGAAAATCCTCCAACTCAGACTGTTCAGAGATGTAACTCTCTGCAATACTGTGGTCACTTTCCATGAAGCATCAGTTATGCTAATGCTAGCTGCCTGTCACGTTCTCTCGTCCTGGCCACACCTCCGCTCTCTAACCCCCCCTCCCCTACCCACTTTGATGCATTTTTCAAATTTCGCCTTGGGGCGGAGTTATCTTTTCACGGGGGGTAAGATACACTTTAAACACTGACCCTGACTTAATAAAAACAATTTTCTTCTTAGAAATGAGGTGACAGCAGGTTTCACAGTTATTTCAAAACAAAAACTAAGGTTTCTGCTTAATAAAAAATCCACAGTGTTCATCAGAAATGCTGGCTTCAGTTTATCTGTGGTGTTGTGGAAGCAGCTTTAAAAAAAAAAATGAGAAGGCGATGTTGGCTCTGAGTACTCTGAGTTATTAATGGCAGCTGCAAATAAATGGGACCTAAAAATGACTCACGCAGCTATTGTTTGCAGTCAAGGTGATTTCTGGTCTTTGTTTGTGCAGATGTTGTAGCAAAATGACTTATTAGGTGTTAAATTCTGCAAGAACGTTCAATCAAAGTGGGATAGAGGAATTCAAATGGCAACTCAGGTCAGGTTTCTACCTCCTTCACTAAGAGACATGACTTGTATTAAAGCCATTACTGTCAACTGTAGGAAAGAAATTCAAATTTGCACTTCTGTACAAAGCACACTGTAGGCAATTAAGTGTTTTTAATTATGTGAATTTTTAACCAAAAGATGAAAAGAAATGGAACAAAAACATTTTCCAAAAAGCTGATGTGTAAACTTGAGTTTTTTGTTGTCTTTTATTAAAACTGTAATATACACTGAGCTTTTATATTACTTTTGATAATTAATTCTGATAAGAGAAACTAATTACATACATGACTGATCATGTGGATGATTACTTGTTTCTCGTTTTAAAACAAGAAACACGATTACTATATATTGACATGAGAGAGGAATAATAGTCCACCCAGTTGAAACAATCCATTTTACTTCTCTGCATTTTTATTTTTAGAATTAATCAAAGCAAGCAGTTTGGTTTGTGTGTCTTCTTGTTAGAAATTTGAGTTATTACAACCATACATAATATAGTTTATACCACCGTGTTCCAGTAAAATACTCTGGATTTGCTCCAAACCACAAGCAGAAACATGTCAAGTTTCATATGTTTCATGCATCTGGTTGGACATAGTCAGCTCAATTCTGTCAATTATTAATAATTGGCTGTTCCTTTTTTTGTTTGTTTGTTTAAAAGTTCTGCTAGAAAGTTAAAACAATTTAAACTACAGAATTTGCATTTCCTGAATGCAGTGTGAATGTTTATTACCTAAAGATTTTTGCTGAAGGAGCTGAAAATGTTTAATAACAAAACTGTTAATGTTCAGTTTGAACAGCTGATGTTTGCTGCAAGTAGGAAAACAAACAAGTGAAAAATCAATAGAAAAAATGTGTTAAAAAAGCTGAACAGAACAGAAAGGTAGTTAAAAAAGAAGAAATAATTTAAATTTAGCAGAAAGATGGTAAGAGGACAGTAAAAAACAAAAAAAAAAAAACCAAACAAGAAAGAAAGTAAGTTGCAATCGGTGATAAAATAGCTAAAAAAGCTGAAAATGACAAAAAAAGAAGCAGAAAGAGAATGCTTGTAGAATTGAACTGTTAGCTGAAATTAATGCATAAAGGAGTGATTAGTGAAAAAAGCTAAAATTAACTGAAATCAGCTCAAAAGTAGCTTAAATAGCAGAATAGCTAAATTGGCATTAAAAGAGAAAAGAGAGATTTTTTTAATTAACATAAGAATAGCAACAAAGAGCATAAACATAGCTAAAACAGCAGAAAAAAGCTAAAATTGGCAACAAAAACAAAGACGGCTGAAATTAGCACAAAGTAGCTGAAACAGAGTAAAAATTAAAAAGTACAGTAATGATTTATAAATATTTTGAAGAGTTTTAAGGATGTTGAAGACAGCTCCATTAAATTTCAACGAGAAAAATGTGGTCAAATAAGGTCAATAGCTGAAAAAGTATATATTGCTGAAATGCCAAATGTCATAGCACCAATGCCATAAATGAAATGGTTTTGATATATGAAATTTTTTAAATAGCACAAAAATTGTGGAAAGAAAAATAGATCATTTATATCGCGTGAATGCTTGATAAGCATTCCATGATAAAAAAAGACAAAAATATTATACACCAGCTATGCAAAATTTAATATATTCTATTCAGAACATCATCTTCATTTCCTTATCTAAATAGAAAAATAAAAAATGACCTCATAGCATGGGGCCCTTCAAATATCTGAACAAAGATAAAATAGAATTGCCTGCATTTTCCCCCACTTACTGCATCTGTGTTAAACGCAACCAACTATTTACCAAAGAAAAGGTCAACTTTAAAGCTTCGAAAAAAGAAAAAAGAAGCACACTTCAGTCTAATCATCAAGACGAGTACAAGAAAGGACAAGGACGGAGATTTTGTCAATAGTTCGTCAAAACTTCGATCCAGAGCTGCTATCCCAAAATGACATTCTTTTAAGATCTGGACGCACTTTAAAGACAAYGACTTGTCAAAGCAGTCCAAAGGGGCACAGAGATAACCGTGCACACACTCATCTACGCTGTTGTCATGACAGCAGGAGCCTTCGATAAGTGAGGATGAGAAGAAGTCCTCATGGAAGCAACAAGGCCATCGGCTCAAGGTGACAGCAGCTGAGGTAGAAAAATATCTCGACTCTGTGGGTGAATGAAGCCCCCGTCACTAAAACAAGTCAAGAAGACATTTCCTCTTTCTAAAGAAGCATTCACACGCTTCTGTTTTCACACAGCCCATCGGTGTGGGCAGCAGATAATTCGATGTGACAACACAACCTTGAGACACGACCCGCTCCCCCCCCCGCGTCACATTACAGGCCCTTATAAATACAAACAAAACAGAGGAAAAGCAGTTTAATCAAAAATGAGAAAATGTGTGAATAATTTAGCTTTGTTGTCATTGTTCCCTCCTTCAAATCCAAAACAAGGAAACAAAATAAATCAGTGTATTACTGCGTCAGCACAGAGTGGCACCCACTCGAATCTGCGTCCACAGGAGGAAGGTGTGGGTGAGTGATGCCTCATAAGGAGCAGGCGTTAAACCAAACATGAGAACAGTTGAAAGTCTTCAAACTTGATTTGTATGCCGAGCTTTTAAACAACACACGGCTGCTTTCAGACAGATAGGAAACCAGCTGCGCCCGATGAAATGTCCATTTTTATATTCAATGTAATTAACTGTGACGTGGTTCCAAGGAATGTGCTGAATTTTACATGAGCTTTAAAAACAAACTCCATATTCAACTTTAATCCCTGCTTTTAAAGCACTTTTTATGCATTCTTCTTCATTCTGTTGTAATGTCCTTTTTAAACATCATCACAGCTCTGTCACTCTTGCTTTATTTGCAGGCACTACAAAAATTTCAAATCAATGGGCCTCATGCAAGAACATGTTCGTATTTTTATCCTAAATTTCTCTTACTTTTGTTCGTAC